TGAATAAAGTTTAGCAACAAATAAGTTATGATTAGAGGCAGAGTGCCCCTGAATGCTCTTGGTTTTCTTGGTAAATATTCTTTATGTATTGCTTTCCAACTGGCTAAAATGTGACTCTAATATGTAATATATTATATAATATGTAATGCATATTACATATTAGAACATATATATGCACTGTCCCAAAGATGAGAAGAATAAAGTTCATATGTGTGTTTGCATATATGTATATATGTTTGTACATTATATATAATAAACTTTATATAATTAAACTTTATTCCTCCTACCCTTGAGACAGTGCAAAAACAAATTAATGTAAAATAAGTAGCAATTAATAGTCACCCTCATATAAGATAAATTATATCACATGCTCTATGGCCAATTTAACAAACAATTGGAACTCTCTGCCATTTTTTACATCTAAACTAAAACAGAAAAATGTATAATTTTTTCATAGTTTGCTAAATCACTCCTGTTAGTAATTGCTTTATTATTATATGCATTAAATATTTTATAGAGCTGGAAAGAGAGCTGAGAGGTTAAGAGTACTTTCTGTTCTTCCAGAAGACTGAATTCAGGTCCTAGCACCCATATCTCATGGTTCACTGTTGCCTGATGTAGGTGTCGTTTCATTGGTTAATTAATAAAGAAACTGCTTGGCCTGATAGGTCAGAACATAGGTGGGTGGAATAGACAGAACAGAATGCTGGGAGGAAGTAAGGCAGACACCATGCCTCTCCTGGTGTCAGACATGATGAAGCTCCAGCCCAAGATGGACGTAGGCTAGAATCTTCCTGGTAAGTCACCACCTCGTGGTGCTACACACATTAATAGAAATGGGCCAAGCAGTGTTTATATGAATACAGTTTGTGTGTTGTTATTTTGGGGCATAAGCTAGCCAGGCGGCCGGGAGCTGGGTGGTAGGAATGCAGCCTGCAGCTCCTTTACAGTTGCCTGTACTACAGCCATATCTCCCAGAGTTTGAGAGGCTGAGAAAAAAGGATTACTGTATATTTGAAGATAGTTGGGTCTACAAAGTAAGTTCCACATGACTTTGGGATGTATAGAAAGATCTTGTACCAAATAATCATAACAACAACAATAATGTATTTTAGATTCCTTTCTTAGTTAAGGCTTTTATTGCTGTGAAGAGACACAATGACTATGGCTACTCTTATAAGGAAGCATTTAATTGGGCCTGGTTTGCAGTTTCAGAGGTTTAGTCCATTATTACCATGACAGATAGCATGGTGGCATGCAGGCAGACATGGTACTGGAGAAGTAGATTATAGCTCTACATCCAGATCCTCAGACAGCATGAACAGAAAGAAAGGCACTGGGCCTGGCTTGAGCATTTGAAACCTCAAAGCCCACCCCCAGTGACACACTTCCTCTAACAAAGCCATATGTCCTCAAATAGCACTCCCTGTGAGCCTATGGGCGCAACTGTCTTTCAACTCACCACACTTTCAATTTACTAAAATTCAATTTTTAATGTTCCCAACATTAAAGCATGCAAAGGAGATGATAGATATGTCAATTCAGTTGATTTAATTTTCCTGTAATATATCAAATGCCACATTTATCAATTTAATATATAATTTTTATTATTTTATTTTTGTTACTATTGCTTGCTTTTTTGAGACAGGGTCTTGTCATATAACTCACCATCCTCCTGCTTCAGCCTTCTTGATATTGATATTACTATAATGTGCATTTAATTTTAATTAAAAATAATTAAATCTTTAAAAACAAAAATAGTACATTTAAAAAAGAAAAGAAAACAGTTTTCAATGGTGTCCTCCTTGCCTCCTTCTCTTTCTCTTCCTACTTCCATGAGGCATCCACGTTCTCTATAGAAATAGCTAACAGCATGAGCTCTGAGGACTTCCATTTTCCAAACACCAGTACATGATGCTATTAATAACTCCAGATGTTCAATAATTCTCAACACAACTGTGAGCCTGCCTCTTATCCTCCATTATACTCAACCCTCCTTCATTGTGACATACTACTACTAATAATAATAATAGGTTTAGATGTTGTGGGATATGTTGATAGCATGCTGACACTCCCAAGACTGCCCAATAAAGTTATGCCTTGAATCAGGGGGCAGAGCCAGTTACTAGTTGACAGGACCTGGTCATAGAGAAGCCAGCAATTTGGATAAAGAAGATGCACAGGAAAGAGCAGGGACTGGAGTTTGAGCTTCCTCTTGGTTTTGGGATAAGGGAAGAGACTTGTCTCTGGTGGTGTCTGGCCAAAAAGCAAGGTCAGCTAACTGCTACTCAGCCTCTCCGAGCTAGCAAGTTTTCACCCCAGCCTTTGACTTGTGAGCCTAATTAATAAATACAGCAATAGAGACTTAATTTAAACCTACATATTGTGGCTACTACAGAGCCAGGGCAGTGGAATCAGAAGCCCTGCCAGGGAACTCCCTGAGTGGCTGGTGGGGCACTCACTGAGGGGCCAAGGGACGACAGACAATAATTAAAGTATCAGTATAGTCATGTGTAACCACTAAGATGATAGGAAAACATCATTTAGATGTATTTAGAGGGCAAAAGGAAAACTGGTATGACTGGCAGGGACTGAATGATGGGATGGTACTGTACCCAGCGTGGTTAGGTCTCTGGAAGTCCTAACAAGTAGCTCACCCACTATACCCAATAGGTCAGTTCAAAGCAATAGTGAAAGCAGAGAAAGGCAACTCATTCACTGTGGTCACTTTGCAAAGATGAGCAGCTAAAGAGGTCTAGGAACTGCATTCCCAACATTACTTCCATCTCCATCTAATGGTGGAATTTAGGCTTAAATAAAGGCCTAGGAATATACAAAACTAAGTCATCCCAATCCAGGCTCGGCTCCCCTCCACCATCATCTTTGCTTCAGCTCCAGTCTGCCCTGCAAAGTGGACTAATGGCTGTCAGAACTCTGTAGAATGTATTTCTGAGAGGTGGGTTCCCCCTCTGGCTGGTGCCAGACAAGCCTTTTCCTTCCCTTTCTTATGGGATTCCTGGGGACATTCCAATCCCTTTCACTGTCTGACAGCCAAGGGAGCGACACTCTTAGAATACCTTCATACCACATTTCATCTGCTAAGACATGTAACACCTTACAAATGCAGGCAAGACGTTTGGGGGACTCTTAGGGAAGTATCAGATGACCAAGGATTGGTCATTGAAATTGCCTTGCATTTTAAAAGACTGCCCATGAGCTACAGAAATGGCTCAGTGGTTAAGAGGATGTGTTCAGTTCCCAGCACCCATATCAGATAACTCCAGCTCCAAGGGATCTGATACCCCCTTCTGATTGCCATAGATACCTGCACTCATGTGCACGTGCATGCACACACACACTAAAAAGTAAAGAACAAGTCTTTAAACGGCCAGACTGGCCGTCTGTGCGGAAGGGCACTGTGAGGGTGACTGTGAAGGACACAAAGGCTAGGCGGCTCCTAAGACCCCAATGCAGTGTTTGATTTGCCTTAAACTGGGAAGGAAAGGGAAGGCACCAATCAGCAGAAGTAGCCAGATGACAGAAAATTAGCAAAAGGGAAGCTGAAGGCAGCAGATAAAGTGGTGTTTGAACTGGGGAGCAGGGGCGGGCTGGGGAGATACAGCTCAGTTTATAAAGTGCTTCTCAAGATGATGGCCCGAGTTTCATTCTGAGACAATATGGTGGAAGGAGAGCTCTGACTCCTGAGTCCCCAGTGTCACATAAAGAGAGAGAGGGGCTGGGGAAGGCATGGACTTTAGAAACCTCAAATTCCACTCCCAATTACACACCTCCTTCAACAAGGCCACACCTCCTAACCCTTTGCAAACAGTTAAAAATAAAACATAATGGATGTCTATATTGACCAATAGCACCCAAGGATACTTTCTGACTTCTACATGCACGTATGAGCCGATCCTTCCAGCCCTCCCATACACAAGCTAGTGAGGGAATAACTCTACCCCCTGTGCCAAGTACCCAGTGAAGCTAAGAAACCATCAAATATGGCTCCCTGTGCAGGTGGCCAGGAAGCCCATTGCTCCTCTGTGTGACCAAGGCCTTCTCCACCACCTGTGGTTCTGAGCGGGCAACACTCAGCAGCAGGGGGAGCGAGTCATTATTCTCCACTGTGCCTGTCACGTCACATTACTCCTCAGGCCCTGCCAGAGCCCTGCAGAAGCTGATGTGTTATGACCTGACACCAGTTACCCTGCACTGTACCTCATTAGTGGGAGCTGAAAGGGCAGGAGTGAGGGGCGACCTGCTTTGTGCTCCCCCACTCTCTCCACCGCGTATTGGTCTCTTGATCTTCCTGTCATTGGGGGCTCAGAGTTTTATGTCCTGGTCAATTTCCAGGTGACAGCTTTTAGTGTCAAAGTGATCAAGGAGAGTTGCTCTCCCATCCCCCAGTGACAAGAGCAGACAATCACAGGAAATTGATCATGTTGGATAAACTCACCTGATCCTAAAAATGATATTGGCTTCATGCTCCAGGGCAGGGCAAAAACAACTGAAAAATAATTGCCAGTATACCCCAGAGGAAAATTCTTTCTCTTCCCCAAATTTGACAATCAATCTAGCCCAGCCCACGTGACGAACAATCACCGCTGAGAAGAGAAAGCTCCATCTGCACACCAAAACGCCAGAGCGATTTGGTTTGAATCGGGGGTCACTTTTCCTTGGCTTTATCTTTCCCTATGAAAGCCTTGCAAGGCCAGGAGGGTTCACAATATGAAGGCAGCTGTCACATTCAGACGAGTGTAGCGTCCTAGAGCCTCTTCCTGCCCATCTTCCATGGATCAGAAAACTGAGCTGGACTTTCATCTTTCTTCCCAGTATTTAAAACAGTCTTCAAACTGTGTGTTTTAGTTTTGTTGTTGTTGTTGCAGAAGTTGAATTTCTCATTCTGGGTCATTTGTAAAGAGGTTTATTTAGCTCTCCTTTCTGTAGGCATGAAGCCCACATCTGGTTGGCATCGGATGGGGTCATCCTTGCCACATTGTGCTATGGTGGAGACCACCATTTGGTGAGGCAGAACAGAGCTCTGCCAGTTCATCTCTGTTTCACTCTTCTAAGAAAGCCACCAGCTTCGCTGTGGAGTTCCTGCCCTGATACTCACATAGAGACCTGACTAATTCCCAAAGATCTGAGCTCTAAGTGTTGTCAGATATGGATTGGGCACTCAGTTTTTTTTTGTTTGTTTGTTTGTTTGTTTGTTTGTTTGTTTTCACTGAAAAAGTTTTTATTGAGACCAACCACACCAGTCAAGCAAATTCTGGCATTAAGCACCTTCTTCCTTGGCAATGTGGTCTTTCTTGAGTGGTCCCATGAATGCTTTCTTCTCCTCCATGGTCTGGAAACGACCGTGGCCAAACTTGGAGGTGGTGTCAATGAATTTCAGGTCAATCTTCTCCAGAGCCCGCATTTTGGTCTGCACCAGCAAGGACTTACGGAGTGTGAGCACTCGCTTCTTGGTTCCCACCACACAGCCTTTGAGCACGATGAAGTCATTGGTTACCTCACCATAATGGACAAATGATGGAGGTGGGTCTTGTATCTTATCTGTTGATTTCATTGGTTAATAATAAAGAAACTGCCTCGGCCCTCATAGGACAGAAAATTAGGTAGGCGGAGTAGACAGAAGAGAATGCTGGGAAAAAGAAGCTGAGTGAGTGAGTCGCCATGATGCTCCCACTCCAGACAGACGCAGGTTAAGATCCTCTCTGGTAAGCCAGCTCATGGGCTACACAGAATATTAGAAATGGGTTAGAACAATATGTAAGAGCTAGCCAATAAGAAGCTGGA